TGCAGCCATTTCTTCTCATTTTGAGTTGTGACCCATCAATAAATGAAGGTCCTGAAAGCTTTGTGATGAAGGTCCTGAAAGCTTTGTGTCGTGCACATCATTAAGGCTAGCTGTTGAGGAGGCAGCTCTTCCCCGGTTGTATTTTGAGTGCCTTCCAACCTGAGGGGATCATCTTCCAGCGCTGTATCAGACAGTGTTCCAGTGGCTAACCATCCAGAAGTGGCCCACCTCTTCTTCCTAATCTGTCTTAGTCTGGAAGCTCCACTGAAACCTATCCACCATGAGGGACCCTGCTGGGGTCATTTAAAATACTGGCGGTATAACTTCCAGCATCATAGAAATACACAAAACACTACAGACAACAAACTCAACAAGCACATATATAACAGAGTGGCCTGCTGTCTGGTCCTGTGCCAACCTCACATTAGTTGGTACGTTGGAACCCATTGCTGAAGCCACTGTGTCCATCCATCTCTTTGAGGGTCTTCCTCTTTGCACTCTCCACTTTGGCAAATAGACTGTCAGCGAAAATCTGGGAAACTATCCTCCTACCAGAGTCCTGGTGTGGCGCCATAGGGTAAGCACTGGACTGATCACCACAGGCCCAATGGTTCAAACACACCAGCCGCTCCGTGGAAATCCTATAGAGGGTCTCCCCTTAACAGTGATGAGGGTCACAGCAGTTTCTGATGAAAGGAAGGGGGGAGGCCTGTGTTTCCATTTGAGGATAGTGTGTTCATTTCCAAGATTATGCTCTGTAATCCTTTTGCTGGAAGCAACGGCAGCATTGGTAACGAGCTGTTTTTCTCAGTGTACATCCCTGTTTTATGCAGGTCTAGCTGGAATCCATCTTGGCCAGTCTTCTTGAGTTTTGGCCAAGAAACAGAGAAACAGTGTAGTATAAAAGAAGTATTTATATGTTCCATGACCTCTAGCTCTCTCATAATGGAATAAACTCTCGGAATTTGCTTTTCATTTCAAGATGAAACAGAAGAAACTAAAAAGCTGCTTAAAAATGAGCATAGTGTTGTAGTTTACCAGACTTCAAAAGACCATGCTCTATTACATAATTAACTCAGAAGCCTTCTTTCATATCCAAAACCATTATGGAAAATCAAGAATGAATTTAAACATGCTTCCTAACCTCATGGCTTTGTAGGGTTCTGGTGTGTGTGGTGTGTATTTGGGAGCTTGGTATGTTTCTTGAACCTCTCAGCCTTTGTTTCCTCTCCTGAGTAATGCAAAGATTAACAGCTACCTGGCAGCGTTGCACAAAGGTGGACTGAGACCACGCACATGGCTTCGAGAGTCCGATTCCTTACTTTGGCACAATTACAGCAACCCGAGTAAAAGGAACTAATATTTCTCCAGATATCTACTAGGAGGATAAACAGTGGCACCAAAACTAAAGTTTCTGGAAGTTACTGATTGTAAATCCTTAGACATTTGGTTTGGTGTTAGTGTCGTTTGGGTACAAATTTACAGAGCAAATTTGAACATTTGTATTCATTTTGTTTCATTGCATTAGTTGGAATTCCCACTCTACACTTCCTCCCTGGGTTCCCCGTTTCCATTCGGCCTTTCCTGCCCTCTGAGCTTTGTTTTGGGGGAGATACTGCCCTTTTGACCGTGTATGGCTGACTGTTCCGAGGAACACGTTTCTCCCGGGTGGTGGTGGTCTCTTTATACGGCTGTCTATTGTTTGGGTGAATGTTGGTCCCCAGAGATGGGTTCTAGTCCAGGTTTGGGGGCCACAGTCTCAGGGGTCCCACCAGTCTTGATTACACCAACAAATGAGGGTTTTTTTTTTATGATTTTAAATTTTGCACGCAGCGCCTCATAACGTGGATGAACCTGGAGGACAATATGACAAGTGAAATTAACTCACTACAAAAGGACCAATATTGTATGAGACCAGTATTACAAAAGGACCAATATTGTATGAGACCAGTATTACAAAAAGGACCAATATTGTATGAGACCAGTATTACAAAAAGGACCAATATTGTATGAGACCAGTATTACAAAAGGACCAATATTGTATGAGACCAGTATTACAAAAAACCTTTTACTAAAGGTTTACACACAGAAAGCAGCGTTCTTTGATGGTTACCAGGGAAGTGGTTGTTAAGTGCCATTGAGTCAATTCTGACTGTGACCCTGTATAGGGTTTCCGAGGAGCAACTGGTGAGTTTGAACCACCGACCTTGTGGTTGAAACCAACCTTGCAGCCCTGCGCTTATCCTACAGCACCACAGCCGGGCTCCGACAAGACACACGTTAATTTGGGTGAAGAGAACAGTGATACCCAATACGGTATGATTGGCAGAATCTCACTCTGTTAAAGAGACGCACTGACAGACACTTAAGACTGGCAGACAACAAAGGTAAACATGATTGCATGCACATTTGTTTTAATTTCACCACAAATGTCTTTCATTCAAGAATCAAGGCTGGAGCCGAAACTCTGGGTTTAGCAATGTAATGATCATTGTGGGGTTAGCCTATGAACTTAAATGCCCTTTATTCATTTATTCCTATGTGAAACAACTATCAAACAAATGACATGATAAAAAA